TACTTGTTGGTGGATACATTATAGAGAAGTTCTATTTTGGTCTCTTTTGCCAGGTATATCAACTCTCCAATTGCCAAGTGGAATCAAATGTTTTAAAGATTGTCATCTGTAAACACCATATGGTTGTTTTATAATATTTCTAACCCATGTAATCGAATTGTTAAGGATTTTGCTTAAAATGGTCTTAAAATAATACTTATTTTATGAGTGTTTTCGTTGTTGTTATTAAAAAAAGTATCATTTTTTAGCTACAAAACTTCATCTATATAATATATATATATATATCTATATATATATATTATATTATATATCTATATATATATATATAGAGGATATAGATCGGTAGGTAAGAAATTTTTTTTGATAGGAAGGTAAGAAGTTTTTTTTCTACATATTTTTTTGACGAATAAAATAAATGAATCACTAGAAGATTCATTTATAAGATGATTCACAAGAAAGAATTCCCAAAAAAAACATCTTTATGATTCATTTTTTAAGTAAATAAGAAAAAAATTCAATTTATGACAATTTTAGTGAATAATAACAAAATCATTGTTGTATAAATGAATCATCGAAATGTTTTTTGAGAATTTTTTCTTGTGAATCATCTTACAAATGAATCATCTAATGATTCATTTTGTTTGTTCGGAAAAAAAATATGTAGAAAAAAAAAATTCTTACCTTCCTACCAAAAATTTCCTTCTTATTTGATCTTGACTCTTCTCTCTCTCTCTCTCTCTCTCTCTCTATATATATATATATATATATTATATATATATACACTAGTAAAATGTTTGCATGTTGCAGCGACATCGATTGGTTTTATTTTGACGATTGGTTTTATTTTGACAAACAGTATTCAATTGCCAATTTAGTATTATGTTGTTTTGGTTAAAAATATATAATTAAATTATTGTTTTTATTAAAAACAAATTAATCTGATAGACAATATAGTGTTGTAATATCTAATAGTAATGTAATTGCTCTATACATGGAGTGTATGTAAGGAAATTTAGGAAAATTATTTAAAAGACATACGACACACAAAGGACTTAACCATACAATTATGTGTTGTATAGTTTTCTTGTTAATGCAGCGTCGATTGGTTACATTTAGGGGAATTGTTTTTAGTTAACAATTAACTAAGTTGTTGTTTTGGGTAAAAAAAAAAAGTAAATGTAAATGTTGTGTTGATTAAAAAACAAAGGAATACGCTATGTTGAACTGTTTAGTAATTTTTCTACTAAAAAGGATGCACAAAATAATAAATGTACACAAGCAGAAAGAGGTCAAATACTTATTGAATATACCACATGTGAAAGTGAAGACATCTAACTTGTTTTTGTTGTTTGTATTTGTAACTAAAGCATGGATATAATATATTTAACAAAAGATATTTCCATAGATTCATGAACTTTTTATGTTTCAAAACAAAATATATTTAAAGATAAAAAAACTGAAAACATGTTCATTACTTCATGAGTGTCTCCAGAATTGCAATCTTTCATCATTTCATTGATAATCGAGGACATCTAGTAAACACATAAACACATGTGTGTCTTTTTTTGCAACTTTGAAGATGTCCTGTAGCCATATACCATTTGGTGTCTTTTTCTTGCAATTTCATGAATGTGTCTTTTTCTTGCAAGTAATATAGTCGTAACATCAGAACTCATACCTACATAGATTATCTATCTTAAAGCGAGATGAATCAGGTAATTGTTGGTAAAAGTGAATTGGTCTGATTAAATTGGGGAAACTAATTATAAAAACTAAAAAAAAAAAATTAGTGATGCAATACTAAAAACTAGAGTGACTACATGAACAGGCATGCAATTTGTGATTTAACAGATAATATATGAAAGCATGTTATAGTTGACATTTACGAGTTTAATGATTCATCTAATGCAATTAATCAATTAACACAAATGTAGTGATAATAAATTTTCTAACACCATCTAAAATCATCAATCACCTTTCGGTCTTATGATTCGATTTAATTTCACTCACTTATATCTCTATGAGGCTAATGAAATTAAAAAACATTAAGTTCAATGGTTTTGTTAAAAGTGCATCAATACACATCTATGTTGATTTTAAGTAGAATCATAAAATCCGACACTCATATTTAAATGATTTCCCAACCAAAACTTTCATCGAAGTCATTAGCTATAAATAATCTGAATTAATATTAATATCTATTATTGGCTAGATAATAAATATTGTTAATTAACCTAATTTCATGAAGCGGTTTTGACAACATACATTTAAACATCAAATAATTACCATACTTAATATTAACTAATTTACAGAAGTAGAGTTATCATTTTCCCAAGTGATTTAAACCCAAAATAAATTACTTCATAAAATTAAATTGAACAAAAATCAGCACAATAAGTTCAATACTCGACATATAATTGTTCAAATATTAGGAATAAATCAAATGAAGTTAAAAATAAAAATAATTCTAAAAATCCGGCTACAACCTTCTTGGATCACTTTCTGCGTGTATATCCATCCAAACCGTTTCAAACATATCTATTTTACATGTTAACTTCAAACACCAATAAGCATGGTGTGATCTTAACTCAATGATAATATCGTACAAGTCTACCATTTGGTAGTTCCAAAAAAGATAAAATGAATTTCATAATAATAATTGGAAACTGGTACGTAATAAAACAATAGTAAACAATAAAAACGATACAAAGATTTATCATGGTTCGATCGATGGGATCTATGTCTGCGTGAATGAACTAGAAAACTCTTCTATTATCGGACTGTTTCAGGGTGATTACAATGCTACCATAACTATGAATATTTATAGTCGTAATCACTAGCAACTATAGAGAAAAGCTTATATACAAGTAAATCCTGAATAATTAAACGAGCTCATATATATTGTCAATATAGGTATCGGGTTATCCATTTGGGTTACCAAATTTGAAGTCACACAACATTAACGTAAAATAAATTGTTATAGATGATTTTGTTAGTTAGTTATAAATGACTTGTTTCTGTATATAACACACACAACCCACATTAATATATATATATATATATATATATATATATATATATCTATATATATATATTATATTATATATATAATATATAGGGCTTGGTTATAATGTAGATGGACAACTATTGTGTGGACGTGTGGATAATGCTATTGTATGAAAATTACTAAGAAAATATGTTGTTTAGTAATGTAATACGTTCAATCTCACAGAACTATTCTTATTTTAATGGATTCTCACTAATTCTAATTCATTTTTTTCTCATTCATCGTTTTTATTTATTTTAATCCTACAGAATACGACTCTCAATAAACATCATGATAACATTCTGACAGAATAAGAATAATTAAAAATGTCTATAATAACGTTATAAACAATTTAATTAGTGAAAATGCGTAATAATTACAATAATTATATAAGATTGAACGTATTCATATTAACAAACAACATATTTTCTTTGTCATTCTCACAGAATAGCATTATCCACACGTCCACACAATAGATGTCAATCCACATTTGAACCTAGCTCTCTCTCTCTCTCTCTCTCTCTCTCTCTATATATATATATCTATATATTATATATATATATATATATATCTATATATAATATATATATATATATATATATATATAGAGAGAGAGAGAGAGAGAGGAAGGATCATTTGAGAACTCATAGTTTCCCGAGAAACCGAGAATTAAAAGTGGAGCATTGGATCAAAAAAAGGGATGGTCAAGATGCACTGTGGCATTTTTGTAAATAAGTTGAAAAATAAAGGACGAGGGCATCAGAATTAAATGGAATCAGGGGCATTTTGGGGTTATAGAAATTGACTCGTACACATACGTCTCCTATCACCATTCCTTATCAGATCTCTCTCTCCACCGTATCTCTTCCCCTCGTCTCCATCCTCCCTCAATCGGTCCACCTCTATGTCCGTCGACAATGAACGTCGGCTACCAATCAACAATCTTTCATATCCAGATCATCAGTGAAGAATTTACGAACCTATATATTGACAATGTTCGTGTTCACCTTCGATTGCGATATTTGAAGCCCTAAATCGCCCGATTCATGATCATCGATTCATCGAGATCGATCAACAATGATCTCTCAATTTTTTTGTAGGCATCAATTTTTCATCATTGATCAGCTTCTGGGATCAAAAAGTCAAGCATATGACCATGGAAATTCATTTAGGTATCGATTCATCATAAATTGGAAGTATTCTTCTAGCTCACTCTCCATCCTCCAATCTCCCTGATTATTTTTAACCATTAACTTCTAATTAATTACATACATATTACAGACCTTCCTATTTACACTAAAAGTAACCAAATCTCTCTTCATTGTCGTCTTCCACTACAATGACCTAATATCATCGCTCTCTTGTATATCTGGAACTGAAGTTGTCGTCTTCAATCACTGTCTCTCGCCCTTCCCTGTTGATTAAAGATATGAAAATCTGATCGAAAACCCTGTCGACTACAAAAGGAGGTTTGGATACTTTAAGGCTACCGATTCTCCTCTTCCGGTAAGTTTTCCGGCGATAATTTGTTGTTTCAATCGTTCGATTTTGCTTGTTTGTGAGTTTTCCGTCGGTCGAGGTTGAATTTTGGGATTGAGGTTTGTTTTCTTCGTAGAAATTGACGGTGTTGCGCTTTAATCGTATGAACTTCTATTCTCTGTTCTTCACTACCAAAATTGCATCTCATTAGACAAGTTAATTTTTACTCATTGTATCTGATTTGTTTTCTATTTTGACATATATTTATGTATGTTTTAGGTTGCATAATTTTGGGATTGAGTTTAGTTAGTTCTGTAGGAAATTTTAGACAGCTGCAATAGTTAGTCAGGGCTGGTGATGGCTATAATGGGAATGATATTTCCAGCTGTTCTTCATTTTACCCATACAGAAATTCATTTTGGGAATTCACAATTAGCACTTACAAGATTCAGTAGCTGTATCATGTTGGTGGCATATGCAAGCTATATTTTCTTTCAGCTTAAGAGTCATGATTGAGTATTTAGATCCTGCTTTTATGTATATAAACAAAGATCCTGATCAAAGGCGTAAGAAAAAAAATATTTTTTTTCTAACATTTTTTTACCTTCTTTTCTACTCAATTACATGCTTCATATCTTAAGTTCTGTAAATATGGTGACATGTGGAACATTAACCATTTGTTAAGATTCTAACTTCTAGGGTTTCAAGGTCCAATGTGCTAAAAAGCTAATCTACCTAATGTTCACATGTTGTAATTATGTATCATGTATAAGACTCTATTTCAATAAACCAAAAGAATTTTACAAAATCAGGCACATAGAAGTTAGGATCAAAAGTATTATGAAGGGTAAATAATGGAAAGGCAATATTTACCACTAAAACACTAGAGTAAAACTTTAAAGGGCCTTATTGTATTTAGGTGAAATGAAGAGTTGCCATTGATTCAGAAACTTAATGTTTCACTTTCTTTCAGCCTCAAAAACAAGATCAAAGAATTAGAGTCAGAAAATGAATTACTTCGCAACCAAAAGGTGGTGGTGGAGCTGATAACCACCCCAAAAAAGAAATCACCGCAACTACAGGTAAATTGACCATTTTGTCCTTTCCCTATGTATGGGAGCTTGAGAATATATATTGATCTAATATGACATTTTCAGAGTTTGAATAATGGACATGAAAAGAAGGATGAGTTTGAAACACCACATGTGGAGCAAGAAAAGACAAAGGTAAAATGGAATCTTTGAAAAATCTACTCAATTATAGCAATGTGATTCAAAGTATAATGTCCTCATAAGAAATATTATAATGATGAATAATTTTTATTTTTTTGTAGTAGTTAGAAAACACCCCATCATCCTTAACAAAACAAAAATCACTTACAGACAGACAACAACAGGTATGAATATAGAATGCATGCATAACCAGAAAAACCATGATTTAAAAATAATAAATTTATAAGAATTCAAAGTAAATTGCTATCAAACTGTTCTCCAATTATTGATATTCCATATTTGTTCGTCCCACAATCAGGAAAACCATGATGTTTTAATCAAGTGTCTTTTGGAAGATAAGAGATTTGACAAAACAAGACTAGTTGCAGCATGTATTGTGTATAAAACATTGGTTCAATGGAGGTCATTTGAGGCAGAAAAGACACATATTTTTGATAGAATTATTCACACAATCCGATCTTCTATAGAGGTAATATTCATTTATCAAAAAAGAATAAAAATTTGCAATATATTTGTACTTATGTTCTTTATCTTTTGCCCATAATAACAACATGCTTACATTTTTTACCTATAATAGAAATATGTAACTAAGAACTTATAGAATGCACTTTAGCTTACTCGTAATAGCAATATACTTACATTTATTTACCTATAATGGCAACATACTTTTACTTTTTTTTACCAATAATAGCAACATATTATATGAAACTTGTAAAATTTACAACTGTAAGATTACATATTGCTATTATAGGTATATAAAATGTAAACATAATGATATTATGGTTAATAAAGTAAGAAACAACATGTATTTTATAGGTATTAGGTCAAATATTTCTATTATTGGTAAAAAAAATATATAATTACATTGCTACTATTTGTAAAAGATAAAGAACAATGTCTATATTGGTAACAAGAGTAAAGTACATTGCTATATCTTGCAAATTGCCCTTAAAAGGATGATGTATCTAGTGTCTACTTGTTTCTTCTTGCATTTGTTTTGTGTTGAAAAATCAAAAGCATTCCATATTATTGAATACTCAAGACAACATCAAAGATTTAGCATACTGTCTATCAACAACTTCAACTCTTTTGTTCCTACTGCAAAGTATAATCAAAGCAAGTGGTTCACCTTATAAGTCTCTACATTGTAATCGCGGTTCACCTACCACATTGTTTGGTAGAATGACACAAGTAAGCTCTTTTTAACAATGTACTTTCATAATTTGCTTATTATAGCATCTTACTTTCATTTCTTCCTATTATAGTATTTTACTTTTAAAAAAGTGAAAGTACAATGTTATACTTTGGTAGATTTTTCAAAGTATAATAATGCCTAAATAAGAAAAGAACTGAAAGTGCAATGTTGTAATAGAAAGAAATGAAAACAGGATTCCCATGTAAATCATAATTACATGTGATTACATGTAAATCACACGTAATTCACATGTAAATCACAAGTGAATTACATATTAGTTAAATGCGATTCATATGTAATTTACATATTAATCACATGTACTTCACAAGTAAATCACAAGTGATTCACATATAAATTACATGTGATTCACATGTAAATCACATTTAATTCACATGTAAATCACAAGTGAATCACATATGAGTTACATGTGATTCATATATAATTTACATATGAATCAAATGTAATTCACAAGTAAATCACAAGTGATTCACATATGAATTACATGTGATTCACATGTAACATGTAAATCACAAGTGAATTACATATGAATTATAATCTATTGATCTTACAGAAAAATTTATTTAACCTTGCAGGTTTCTGTTTTTATGGTGCTTGGAATCATTTTGTTAGGAGTTGGTTTCGGATATTGGCTGGTGAGGAAATATATTATTTCTGAAGATGGAGAAGTTGATGTTGGAGTTGCAGTCACGTGTATTATCCTGGTAGGTTACTATATTCATTAATTAAACTCATATTTCCAAAAGTGGTTCATGATTTAATGAATTCTATGTTTTACTTGCTTATATCTGAGGCTTGTGTTATCTTTTTCAGAGCACGAAAGACACCCCTTTGGCAATGGCTGCAGTGGGGTCTTGTTTGGGTGTATACTACATGATCACGAAGATTGTAAGGAAAATGCCATGTAGGATCTATGCAACCCTCAAAGAGCTCAGCCTTGGTATGATGGAGAAGGAATGGAATGTATCATTCCATTGGAATGGACGATTCCTGAATGAATGTAATTCCTTTCATTTTCTGGAATTTATGAAGAGGAACAATTTTGTTAGCCCTAAAGTTGCTTATGAAACAGCAACTGCTTTGCAGGTACAGTTAGATGAATTTTAATAAATTCAACTATATATATGAGAAACTAATATCTTGCTCTTTGATAAAATTATTACAAAAAAAAGATTTACTAATTTCCTGTATTTCTTCTTACAAAATGTATCATTCCATTAGAATGGGCGATTCTTGAATGAATGTAATTCCTTCCATTTTCTAGAATTTATGAAGAGGAACAATTTTGTTAGCCCTAAAGTTGCTTATGAAACAGCAACTGCTTTGCAGGTATAGTTGGATGAATTTTACTAAATTCAACAATATATATGAGAAACTAATATCTTGTTCTTTGATAAAACTATTACAAAAAAAAGTTTGCTAATTTCCTGTATTTCTTCTTGCATTTGCAAATTTGCTCTTGATATTGACCTTGATGCTCCAAAAATTAGAATTCATATAAGATTAAATGCCTCATCAAAGTATAACAATCATTTTCGTTTGGATTTTGGTCATTTTACATTGAGGAAATAGGTATATTTTAATTAATCTTTGGGATATTTTCTGTTCCATCATTGATTTCTGATTCGGTGACCAATAAACTAATCCATTAGTATAATATATAAATGAAAATATAATTTTATTGAAGTATTTTGGTTGCAAACTTTACATATGAATTACATGTGATTCACATGTAATTTACATATGATTCACGTGTAAATCACAAGTGAATCACATATGAATTACATGTGATTCACATGTAATTTATATGTGATGTAAATCACAAGTGAATCACGTATGAATTACATGTGATTCACATGTTAATAACATGTAATTCACATATGATTCACATTTTAATCACATGTAATTCACATATGATTCACATGTAAATATGAATTACATGTGATTCACGTGTAAATCACGAGTGAATCACATATGAATTACATGTGATTCACATGTAAATAACATGTAATTCACATATGAATTACATGTGATTCACATGTAATTCACATATGATTAATTTGTGATTCACATGTAAATTACAAGTGAATTACCATTGAATTACATGTGATTCACAAGTTAATCACATATGAATTATATGTGATTCACATGTAATTCACATATTAATCACATGTAATTCACATGTAAATCACAAGTGAATCACATATCAATTACATGTGATTTACATGTAAAGCACAAGTGAATTACATGTGATTCACATGTAAATCACAAGTGAATCACATATGAATTACGTATGCACACATGCATTTTGTGTAAGTGTTCTTCGTTAATTATTTTTTAAAATTTTCTTGTGAATTTCACATTTAAATCTTAAAAGATACAATAACATGTGAATATCACATTATATAATCACATGTGAATCTTACATGATATATACATGTGCGTGTTCTTACATTAATCAATTTTTTTTTATTTTCCTGTAGATTTTGAAGAATTTTTGGAAAATATTGAAGAGGTGAAAAGTGATAAATTGAAGAAAATATGGAAATCTTGATATGAAGAAATGATAACACTGTGAATTGGAGGCAAACCCGATGGTAATTCGTTTGGAAACACATCTTGAAACTATAAAAGAAAATTAGCATTAACGTTTTCTCCATGCAACGTCTTCTCCACCTTTGCATGCTCTTTTGCCACAAGCATGTAAATCGCATCACCTTGGTCAAGAACTTGCTCCACCTCCCTTTCACTAGAAAACATAAAAATATTAGGTTTTTTAACTTGTTTAGAATTCATGGACCTTATGGTCGTTGGGGACATGGTTTTTAACTTTATGCTTTTAGAAGTCATGGAATGGCCAGATCTTGGGTTGGGAGTAAATGTTTTAAGGGATTAAGACCCAAGTTGGTATAAATGGAAACAGACAGAGTACGTTGAGCGTACTCCTGGCTACGCCCCGCATAACCGGTCCCAGCCCCGTTATTCGCTGATCCAAGTTGTACGCCCCACATAGATCGTGGTACGCTCAACGTACGCCTTGAGCGTTGACTTTTGTTGACTTTGACCCTTGGTCAAGATTTAGGGTGTTTGGATCATGTGAAGGGCAAAATGGTCCTTTTTACATTAGAAGGTTTAGCCGTGGGATTTGGATTCGTGAGTGGATTTTTGAACCTTAGTTATTAATTAGGGTTAATTAATTTGTTGACTAGGTGGAGTCTAGATCCGGCAGTTCGGGTGCTATGTTTTTCATGTCATCAGTATCAGGTGAGCCTCCTCACTTATTCTCACATGTGTGGTAGAATAGTTGTATCTGTAATGACCAGCTAGATCTTGCTGCTTTTATTATCTATTGCTGATTATTTGTAACTGAGACCGCTAATAGTCTCCAGGGTGTCTGATAACCCATCGAACGTGCTGTTAGCTCATTGGGAATGTTGATAGTCACCAGGATTGCTGATAATCCATAGTTGTTTATTTTATGTTGTGTTGTATGTGGTATTTTGGGGAACTCACTAAGCTTTGTGCTTACATTTGTTGATTATATGTGGCAGGTACTTCGGAGGACCGCGAGAAAAGAAGGTATGATTGTACACACTCACTGGGATGTTTGCTGCTGGGACGGATGTGAACTCTTATATTGTGGAAATGAATGTTTTGAATAACAATGTACTTGAAAACTTATTTTATGATACCTTAATTTTGATAATTTAAATTGAAAAAATTTTGGTTGAAATTTAAGGCGTTACAAAGATATTAGTATAAATCATCAAGACAATGTTATATACATAAGTAGAAACATAAAACAAGCCACATTGTGAATTCTCGATTGTACATCAATTACGATGGTTGGTCCATTGATTGGTAGATGATTAAAACTATTTTTTCATGTAAGAGCCATTGTAAATTTCTAATTGTATAGACAGATATACACAGAATAGCCATTGTGATGGACTATTAATAAAATCCACTACAGTTTTTGTTGAGAAAAATAACTTAAAATTAAAGAGGACAAATACCACACAAACATGTAGACTTTTTACGTAAATGTATCAAGATGATCATCACCTGATAAATGAATAAAGGTTCAACTACTAAATATCACGAACAAAAACAATAAAGAATACTTGCGTAAAATCAAGCCTAATGAATACTTGCAATAGATTTTACGCAATCTTCTTTATTGTTTTTGTTCGTGATATTTAGTAGTTGAACCTTTATTCATTTATCAGGTGATGATCATCTTGATACATTTACGTAAAAAGTCTACATGTTTGTGTGGTATTTGTCCTCTTTAATTTTAAGTTATTTTTCTCAACAAAAACTGTAGTGGATTTTATTAATAGTCCATCACAATGGCTATTCTGTGTATATCTGTCTATACAATTGGAAATTTACAATGGCTCTTACATGAAAAAATAGTTTTAATCATCTACCAATACAATGGACCAACCATCGTAATTGATGTACAATCGAGAATTCACAATGTGGCTTGTTTTATGTTTCTACTTATGTATATAACATTGTCTTGATGATTTATACTAATATCTTTGTAACGCCTTAAATTTCAACCAAAATTTTTTCAATTTAAATTATCAAAATTAAGGTATCATAAAATATGTTTTCAAGTACATAGTTATTCAAAACATTCATTTCCACAATATCAGAGTTCACATCTGTCCCAGCAGCAAACATCCCAGTGAGTGTGTACAATCATACCTTCTTTTCCCGCGGTCCTCCGAAGTACCTGCCACATATAATCAACAAATGTAAGCACAAAGCTTAGTGAGTTCCCCAAAATACCACATACAACACAACATAAAATAAACAACTATGGATTATCAGCAATCCTGGTGACTATCAGCATTCCCAATGAGCTAACAGCACGTTCGATGGGTTATCAGACACCCTGGAGACTATTAGCGGTCTCAGTTACAAATAATCAGCAATAGATAATAAAAGCAGCAAGATCTAGCTGGTCATTACAGATACAACTATTCTACCACACATGTGAGAATAAGTGAGGAGGCTCACCTGATACTGATGACATGAAAAACATAGCACCCGAACTGCCGGATCTAGACTCCACCTAGTCAACAAATTAATTAACCCTAATTAATAACTAAGGTTCAAAAATCCACTCACGAATCCAAATCCCACGGCTAAACCTTCTAATGTAAAAAGGACCATTTTGCCCTTCACATGATCCAAACACCCTAAATCTTGACCAAGGGTCAAAGTCAACGAAAGTCAACGCTCAGGGCGTACGTTGAGCGTACCACGATCTATGTGGGGCGTACAACTTGGATCAGCGAATAACGGGGCTGGGACCGGCTATGCGGGGCGTAGCCAGGAGTACGCTCAACGTACTATGTCTGTTTCCATTTATACCAACTTGGGTCTTAATCCCTTAAAACATTTACTCCCAACCACAGATCTGGCCATTCCATGACTTCTAAAAGCATAAAGTTAAAAACCATGTCCCCAACGACCATAAGGTCCATGAATTCTAAACAAGTTAAAAAACCTAATATTTTTATGTTTTCTAGTGAAAGGGAGGTGGAGCAAGTTCTTGACCAAGGTGATGCGATTTACATGCTTGTGGCAAAAGAGAATGCAAAGGTGGAGAAGACGTTGCATGGAGAAAACGTTAATGCTAATTTTCTTTTATAGTTTCAAGATGTGTTTCCAAACGAATTACCATTGGGTTTGGCTCCAATTCGTGGTATCGAACACCAAATTAACCTTATTCCGAGTGCTCCTTTGCCTAATAAAGCTGCCTATAGATGTAATACAAAGGTGACAAAGGAGTTGCAAAAAGAAATTGATGAACTCATGAAAATGGGTTATGTTCATGAAAGCCTAAGTCCTTTGTGTTGTTCCGGTGTTGTTGGTTCCAAAAAGAAAAGTTGGTTCTTAGAATATGTGTGTTGATAGTAGGGATGTTAATAACATCACCATAAAATAACGATTTCCTATTCCTAGAGTTGATGATTTGTTGGACGAGTTGCATGGTTCCATTGTGTTCTCAAAATTTGATTTGAGAAGTGGTTACCATCAGATTCGTATGCGTGAAAGGGGATGAATGGAAAACATCCTTTAAAACTAAACATGGCTTGTATGAATAGACCGTGATGCCTTTTGGTCTAACTAATGCACCTAGAACTTTCATGCGACTAATGAATGAAGTGCTAAAATCTTTTTTGGGCAGGTTTGTGGTGGTATACCTTGATGATATCTTGGTATATAGCAAGAGCTTGTAGGATCATTTGGTGCACTTAAAACAAGTTTTTGAGACCCTTAGAGCTCAAAACGTCTATGGGAAGCAAGATAAATGT